TGCCAGTTGTCCTGACAGTCTTTCACCTGATCTGTCCAAATGGAGACCACCCTGGACCACGTGTTGCATGTGGTTGGCCTGTCCCTGTACTCTTATTGCAGTGAATTCCTCTTCTTGTGACCCTAATACACACAAGACCGGGCCAGTTGTCCTACAGCGTCCATGGGTCTGGGCTTCTGTGTGCATACCTCGTGCAGTGTTTAGCTCAGTCCTCACCCTGTGCTTCTGTGAACTGAATCAGATCTAGAATCTGGATTGGAATCAAGTCAGAGGTGTTGTCAGGACCATCATGGGTGGTGGGGTGATGTCCCGTAACAACCAGGTTGGCCGTAGCACCAGGTGCCTGTGGTTTGTCACTCTCTTGTGAAGTCACTCCCTCACCCCGCCTGCGCCTGCAGCCTGACAGTAATCTGGCTGTGATGGTATGGTACACTTCTCATCTTGTACATTTTTGGCTTTTTCACCATATATTTATATCTTTTTTCTCTTTTAATTTTACCTGGGGTAACCTGAGCGTATTTTCTCATCATTTGCCTCATTCAACGAAAAGCAGTCTTTCCTGCTCCTCCCTATGAACTTGTAAGGTGAGGACCCTGGAAAGTCTCCCATAGGGAATGAATTTGGAAGCCTCAGCTGGGTGGGAGTGTCCACAGTGGCCAAGGAGACTGACTCAGGAAATGGCCCATGGAACCACAGGAAGATGTCACCACATTGAGGAAGACCCAGTAAGCATTTTGCTGTAGTTGAGTAATGAGGAAGGAACTTAGCTGGTCCAGGGAACTGGTCATCGGAGGCAGTCGCTGGCCCTGGGCTTCGTGTGGGCTCCCAGCCCCTCTCGCAAAGGACCATAGCAGCAGAAAGAGGAGGGTGGAGACCATGGCCTGGCTGGGGCCATAGTCCTGTCTCCATGACGGCCTGGTTCACTGTAGGCCACCCATTTATGGTTTCTACTGCGTGAGATGGAAAGAGCTCTGGCCCCCAGGGGTTCTGGTGGTCACGGGATGGGGCCTAGAGCAGTGACCTGGGGCAAGGCACATTCTCTGGGGAGAGCAGCTGTGTCTTAGGCCCTTCTGGCCCTCCCAAAAGCCCCATTGGGCTCCATTTCACAGCTGTGGAAACAGGAACCCAGAGAGGTCAGGCCATTTGCATATGGTCTCACTGCTAGTGAATGATGGCAACAGGGTTTGAACTCTGTTATGCTTGTCAGCTGATGGGAACAGGGTTATTGGAAGTGGCAGCAGTGCTTGAACTGAGATGGGGTCTTCTCGGGCCCCAAAGGCCTGGCAACCTTGCATTCTTGCCAAGATGTCAGATGTGCCTGTGTGCCCAACATCCGCTGGGGACACACGGAGATGAGACCTTCACCCTGCATGAGGCCCCCGTACCAGAGAGCTTTACCAGAAGTCATGCCAGTCACCTCACTGAGCTGTTTGCTGGTAAATCATGCCCCTCAGTGTCTTTTCCCTTTTAATCAGCATATGTGATTGCAGAAGCTGCTTAAGTACTTTCTAGGAAAATTGAGAAGAAGCAATTTCCTGTTTTTCTGTTACCTTGACTGCTTTGCTGTCTTCTTCCAGAATTACCCCAAATCGGCCAGCGGAAGCAACTTTGTCAGGCCGTCTTTCAGACTTTGTTGTGGGAGCACAGTTGGGAAAGGGACTTTGTGCAACACAGAGTGTAGGTATGCAGGCTCAGTTCAGTTAGCCCCTCGAGCAGGTGGAGTACAGCGAACACGGCAGGTCCATCTGCCTGTGTTTTGAGGAAATGTGGGGCTTTTACAGGTTCTCTGTTCAGCCTCTTCCCTTAGGCCTTCTCAGGAGGGCAGCGGACTGGAGAGGATAACAGTGAGGCCACAGCAAGCGAAGACTTTGAGCTCTTCCAGGTGGCATCATATGCAAAAGGGTATCTTAGTGGTAGGAGGGTGATGATGCACTTAATGTTCCTTTAGTGATTAGCTTACGCCAACAGTTCCTGTTCTTCCCTCCAGAGGGTAGTGGGGTACGAAAGCAGCTGACCGACCCAAGAGCCGGCAGTCTCTAGGGCGCTTGCTTTTTCCACAGGTGCCTTCTGAGCCTCAGCTCTTCAGAGCAGGGCCAGGGCCACGCTCAGGTGGTCAGAAGGGTTGATTCATGCCCAGCTCACAACCACGGCTGTGTTCACTATCATGTGCACCGGCACAAAAGGCCCTTTGTGGGGCCGAGATACTGTCCCTAAGGCCAAAGCATCTCTGCTGGAATCCTCCCTCACAGCTAAGACCTCTGTGCAGCTCAGCTGATACTCAGGGCTGGTGGCTGTGAATTCTGCCATCTGTGGAACTGAGAGCTGTACTGTACCTCCGTTGATAAAAACCACAGCATTTAGGGGAATACCCTTTGTGTTTAAGTTCCACATTGATGTGGTAAGTTATTTCCGTATATGCTGGCTATGCCTCATTCTAACATCATTGGTTATGGTAGATATAAACATGGACATTTGCATATGAAGCCAGTGTGGCCTTGCAGATGTGCTGAGAGGCTCGGAGGACAAGGGCGGTCTCATTCCCTAGAGGCTCCCTGTGCAGAGCCCTGCCCCATTCATCCCGGCCCTGTTTGAATCAGGCCTTGTGGTGGTGCAGCCAAGTAGCAGCCTTCCCTGCCAAGCTGGGGCTCAGTTTTCAGAGCACTTTTTGTGGTGTGGGGTAAGATACAAGGTCTTCTCCTTTATTCACTCATGATTTCCATTTGGTGGTAAATGAAGGATGTCAGATGTGCTGTGCTTGTTATAAACGGAGGGTTTTATAAAGCCAGCCTCAGAGATTCTGTATCAGAAAAGAGGCTGGGAATGGGCGGTCTGAGTGGTCTGGACCAAGAGCCAAGTTCAGTTGAGGAGAGTCCCCCAGAACAGCCCCCCAGAACCGTTCCCCAGAACCATCTCCCACAAGCATCCCCAGAACCACCCTGCTTTCTTTGTTTCCACCAATCTGGATGGTGATGTCTTTGCTTCTAGAGCACAAAAAGCCCAAACCTAAGTACTGTGGTGGACATAGGTGATGTTTGAGACAAAACTAACAAAAAAAATGTATGCTTGTTTTGGTATATTACTAAGAAATCAAATGATTAAGATGGATTTGAGGACATTTTGTTACCATCTAGCTTTATTTCTAAAGAAATGCTTTGGAAAATATAATTGTAGTGATGTACTAGGCTGGGATTTGACTTGATTTTGTTAGAAAAATATGTTTGTGTTTCTTATAACAGCAGCATTTTTGCTGTTTCGTGTAGCTTTGAGTTGAGATGAGGCAATTGGCTGCTGGCTTTTTTTTTTTATGATTCTTTGGTTGAAAATAAATCATAGCAAACACACTGTGTTTCATATCACTGAATTGTTCCAAATGAAATCTTGCTACTATAAGTGTTTTGTGTTTTTTAAAACTTGTGGAACAAAGCAATGCCATTTACAGCCTCCTGCCCTGCGCTGCCCCAGCCCTCTGCCCAGAGCAGCCCCTTGGCAGCCTTACCTGTTTCTGTGGGTTACCTCCATGACTCTTAACTGTATATAGCCCTCTTGTCCTATTTTGTTCACTGCAGCCAGAGCCCAGCCATCTAGAAACCTCATCTGTCAGGAATAACTCCCCACCTTTTCCTTTCTCCCAAAGAGGCAGATCCTAAGAAGCGAGTTCAGATTGGAGATTGAGGCAGAGCAGGATTTTGGTGAGTCCTGATGGTTGGCTTTAGAATGGATGTAGTGAAAAAAGGAAGTGAACTAAATACATAATTAGAGCATTTTCAAACAACTACCCATCAGCCATGAAATCGAATTCTCCATCTGTCTGTCCATCTGTGCATATATGTATCCATCCATCCATTCAACAGCTGCTCTGTCAATCTTTGGGGGGTGGGTATAATGGTGAGGAGACAGGCCTGGGCCTTCCCCAAGGAGCATACCTACCGAATTGCAGCCAGGGGTGAGTGCTGTGAGAGAAGAAGAATGTGGACCCAGCAGGGAGGGCATCCTGGAGACCTGGAGTGGGGAAACTGAGCTCTGAAGGCAGAGGAGGAGTTGGGCGGCTGAGGGAACAGCGTGCACAAAGGCCCAGAGGGAGGACCATGTGCGGAGTCATCTGTGACGTGGGTCCACCCCTCTTTCAGATGGCAGACCTCACTTGGAGAATTTCAGAGACACTCTGGACCCTCTCCTGGGGCACGGGCAGAAGCGGCACACACTTAGGCAGAAGCTCCCAAAATCTTACGCCTAATTCCTGGAGGCACCAGGCTCCCTGGGGCACAAACATCCTGGTGGCCTGTGCGCCCCAGCATTTTCATGTGGGGAGGCCCAGCTTGGCTTACAGAGCAATTGTAATCACTCCTTCCTTTCTTTGGACTCTGTTACATCAGCTAGGAATTCACATCTCATCCCTTCAATAAAAGCTTTTTCCAGGAGCCGTGTACAAGGGTTTAAACAAGCTAACTACTTACAGCAAAAAATGTCTGCATGTGTGGTTTTTTAATTTCCAGGTCAATACACAGTTTTACTTAAAAAATAAAACCTTTCAGGGCTCTTCAGAAATGTTTGGGCTTCACTTTCCATGATACCTATCACCATAAGATACAAAGTGAGGCTCTTAAATACTGGGGGCATCTCGAGTGGAGTTCTTGGTCACAGGTACCCTCCTCTTCTCTGAATGATGCTCTTTGATCCAGCTTTTCAAGAACTATACTCTGAGTGTTTTAAACAATGAGCTCCTTTCTTTGAAGCAGTGCAGTTCTGCAGTGAAGACTGTTCTAATCCCCGTGAGGCCTGACCCCTGGGTGTCTACCCTAAGGCATCTTTTCTAGGTCGGTGCCATGTGGCAGTTAGGAAAGCACATTTGACATTTCTTGATTTGAATGTTGAAATATTTGCAAATCTTTCAATCCCCTATTGTTGGGCTATTGTCAGACCTTGTGGGTGTGAGATGGGGGTGGGGTGTGATTTGACTGGGTAACTCCTTTGCACATGGTGACTTTGCCTCCCCTCTACAGCCACTTCCCCTCGGGTGTCCTCGGAGCTGGAGCAGGCCCGGCCCCAGACTAGCGGAGAAGAGGAGCTACAGCTGCAGCTGGCACTTGCCATGAGCAGAGAAGTGGCTGAGCAGGTCAGTGCCCACGTGGGTCTGCCACTGAGCGACTGCCCTGTGTGGGGGTGCAGACAGGGCACGGATCACAGGGGGCACACACGTGTGCTCTTTCCTGCATGTTTTGGATGTGACTCGTGTTGCCACAAGTGTGTTCGTGTCACCTACTGTCCCCAGTCAGGGAGGGGTCCTATGCAAAGTTACATTTAGAAAAGGTTTTCAGGGAAGTCATTGCCAAAGGACAAACCAGTCAAAAGTGCTTCCCAGAAATACTTTTGCAGACATGGCCAAACCTCATGAACGAGTAGAGTGTCCACAGCCTCCTCGATGCACTGTGGGCCACAGTCAGGCTTCGCCCTGGGAAGTTTGGTAAGATGAATCAACAGGAAAAAAAAAGAGATAGCAGGAAATGCTCCAGGAAATGAGTGCTTATATTTATGAGGTGTGATCATAAAATAGTGAATGTTTAAATTTAAAAAAGTTTATTACAGTAAAAGACATATTGCCATCAATCTCCCTCAAAATACTCCCCCTTGCTTAGAACACACCTATCCCATTATTCTTGCCACTTTCTGAAGCAGTTCTGGAGTCCTCTTTCGTGAGTGTCTTTACTTGTGCTGTCATGGCTGCCTTGATGTCCTGAATCAATTCAAAACATTTACCTTTCTTGTTCATTTTGACTTCAGGGAAGAGCCAGAAGTTGCATGGTGCCAGATCTGGTGAATAAGGTAGATGAGGACAGTCTGTAATGCTTTTATTTGACAGAAATTGCCATACCAGAAGCGGTGTGTGACACGGAGCCTTTCCACTGTGATCACAAAATGCAGTGAATGCTGCTGCTGAGTGCCATTCAATGGAAAGGCAGGGATCTTCAACACGGGAAGGGGCACCTCGAACCTTAGTTAACAGTATGTGACAAGTTTCAGCTTGTTTGGTGCAGTCAGTTGGGAGTGAGCTACGATTGAGAGAAGGTGTGTTTTAAAGTGTGCTGTACATCATCATCATGACAACATTCCGTGTCATATATGGTTTCTGGTACAGCAGTCTGTCAAATAAAAGCATTACGGTGTGTTCTCATCTACCTTATTCACCAGATCTGGCACCATGTGACTTCTGGCTCTTCCCCAAAGTCAAAATGAATAAGAAAGGTAAACATTTTGAATTGATTCAGAACATCAAGGCAGCCACGACAGCACAAGTAAAGACACTCACGAAAGTGGACTTCCAAAACTGCTTCAGGAAGTGGCAAGAATGTTGGGATAAATGTGTTCGAAGCGAGGGGGGAATATTTTGAGGGAGGGGATTAATAGTAATGTGTCTTTTACTGTAATATATATATATATTTTTATTTAAACATTCACTGTATTGTTTGATCACACCTTGTAGATGATGGAAGTGTGTGTAGTTTTAATTTTTTTTCAGTTTCCGTTTTTCTTTAATAAACATGAATTTCTTCAAAATGGAGAAGGAGGGAAAGGAGTGATTGAAATGACCTTTCAAAGTTATCAACCCTTTAGTTTCAGTTATTAGGTCTGTCTCCGCTGACCTTTGGTTTAAAAGGGTAGATGGAGTCAAGTGTAGCATGGGGCCCCCTCTCACTTAGAAGTGGTGTCCAGAGACAAATATTAGAGATAGTTCAATGGAAGTACAGATGGATGGTCTGAGCCCATTTTTATTAATAACATATCTATGATTTATTATATTGATAATAAATAAAATATAATTAATATATTTAATCATATTAAAAAGCTAGGATGACCCAGTTTTTTGCATATGGTAGCTTTGCCTTAAATAAATGTAAATTAAATATAATTAATTATTTCTGTTAGGTAATGGCAACGAAAAATATTCAGCCTAAGAGAAAATTTAATAAGAGTTTACCTAAGCCAAACTGACGACAATTGCTGGGAAGCAAAGTCTCAATAGATTGAGAAAATGCTCCAGAAAATGGCTGTTTTGCAACTTATTTTATACATTAGAATCAAAGGAGGAAGGTTACATGAAATCCATTGGTTGTAGATTAAGGGGGTGGGAGAAAGCATGGTGGAGAAGTCTCTTTGATAAAAAGTAAAATGAAGAGACACACACTTCTTTTACATTGTTTAGTACAGGATAGTTAATAGCATTTTACAGCACATAGAGATGTTATTTGGGGAACAAGGTAACAGTGAGGGATTTTGTAGATTCCTGCTCTGGTATGGTGGGTTGTGCAATTGGGGGCTCTGGAAAAGGAGATTACTATATTTCCCCATGTATAAGATGCACCCTTTTTCAAAAAACTGGGGCCTAAAAACTGGATGCATCTTATACAGTGGTTGTAGATTTTTTTTTTACTTGCATTTCCTGCCTTTTTCACGCTTGTTTTTGCGCTCGTTGTTGTAGATTTTTTTACTTGCATTTCCCACTTTTTCGTGCTTATTGTCTTTGCTCATTGTTTCGCACTTGTTACCAGTATATTACAGTAGGTTACATTTTGTCACGTTCTGCCCAGAAATGGCTCAGAAAAGATTTTCATACAGTGCTGAATTCAAGTTAAAAGCGATCCAGTTTGTAAAAGCGAATGGAAATCGTGCTTTGGAACATAAGTTTGGTCCTCCTGCAACTGAGAAAACAATCCGAGACGGGCTACGGGAAGAAGAAACCCTACTGAAAACGCCACAGCAGAAGAAGGCCATGGAGAGGCAAGTCAGCAAAATGGCCAGATTTAAAGAGAGAATTGAAGATATGGATTAAAGAGCAAAGGGCAATTGGGTGATTCATCATCAGACATAGAAGAGGACAAGCTAATGGTTGGGAGTTTTGACAGTGATGAGGAGTTGTATGAATTTTATGATGAAAAAAACTTGAGTTCGGGCCGGCCAAGTGGCGCATTGGTTAAGAACTGGCTTGGGAGGCCAGAGGGCCCCGGTTCAGATCCCACATATGAGGGCCAGTGACACTGCCCTCTACAGCTAAGATGCTGAACAACAGCTCAACCTGGAGCTGGGCTGCCATGAGTCACCGGCAGTGGCGTAGGCTGCAGCCCCTGTGGCAGTGGGTTGCCATGGGCTACGGTGTGTAGCCAGCAGCCAGCGTGAGCGGCCAGCAGCCGCTATTAGCAGCCGTCCAGAAGCTGGCGACTGATCTGCCTTGCCTGGGAAGAGCGCAATGATGGTGCCAACTTGGGCCAGTGAAGCAACGTCCTCCACAACTAGACTGAAGAATAAAAGGACAGCATCTTGTCTGTTCCCCTGCCCGCAATTCCCCAGCGCTGTTCCCATCCCCCAATTCCTCAATAAAAATCTTGAAAACAAAAAAAAAAACTTGAGTTCAATAACTTTATGTAATACTACATTTTTTGTTTTTTTTAAATTTCGGGCCCCCAAATTAAAGGTGCGTCTTATACATGGGCGTGTCTTATACATGGGGAAATACGGTACTCTGATATTGTAAGAGTATGTTGTCTTAGATGCAAAAAGCCGACAGGCAGGCTTAAAAAAGATTGAGCTTTGTCAAGGAAGCTATAGGCCAAGGATGTGACTTCCCGCCATGGTCCACCTTTGTTAGGAATTTTTATGTTCACACCATTCTCTGTGGTTATTTTCAATCTCCTGAGCTTGTCAGGTTTAACATGTGGTGCCTTTTCCATCCACAAAGTCATAGAAATAAATATACAGTCATTTTCTGGAAGTGTACACAGTGGGAGGTGGGATATGTGATTTTCATACTCTTTCGAGTTCCTTTCTGGGTTGTTGGATTTGTGATTTTATAAAGAGACATATTGCTTCTATAAATGGAATTATACAGCCATTTTCCTTTTGAGAAGAAACATTTTAGAATAAGTATTTCCTTTCCTCAGTTTGGTGGTGCTTGTGCCCATCTCCCTGGTTGGACTCCAAGCAGGTGGGACCACAGGAGGTGGAGAGGGCGGAGCAGGGAGTCCGGGAGAGGGACTTGGTCTCACAGGTAGTTTCCGAATCCGCCTTTGAAATAACTCATAATACAAGCTTACACTTCTTGCTTCAGGCCGGGATTGTTTGGTTCTGTATAGTGATGTCACTACAATTGCCATCAGCTTCAAGTCCCATTGTCCTCCACAGGAAGAGCGCCTCAGGCGGGGCGATGACCTCAGACTACAGATGGCCTTAGAAGAAAGCCGAAGAGACACAGTTAAAGTTCCAAAAAAGAAAGAGGTGAGTGCTTTGCTGGGAAGGTAAGTATTTGAGGCTGTCCCACAGTTGTTGCTCAAGTGTCCCAAACCCAGCCTACACTGTGCATGTGACATGTGTGGGAGCTCTTATACATGCTGGTTTCTTTCTTCCTTCAACAAATAACCCTGGGGCCCGTGATAAGCAAGAGTGAGGTGAGGATGGAACTGAAAACACAGGCACCTCGGCCATCATTGGCCTCTCCTGAGACCACCCTGAGAGAAGATAGGCATGGGTGAGAGGCCTGAGTGCCTGGGTTCCCATGTCCCCCGCTGAGCAGTACATCAGTTCCCTCCATAAAACGAACAGATAGGAGAGCCCACCTCCTGTGGTTATGGCAGCTGTCCCATCAGCTGAGTGTCATGTGCTCTGGAACAGTTCCCTGGCTCAGGGCCAGCCCTCACTGTGCCGGTCTGCCTCACCGTCATTACAACCCTATGCCAGGCTTGCTGCTTGCGACTTCAAGGCCACCGGGACCTGGCTCTGCTCCTGACAAGATCGTTATCCAGTCAGGAGACAGGTTCCCCTCACCCAGTGGCCTTCTGTGTTACAGTGCCCTGAGGCGTTCCTGAAGGCAGCCATGGGAGTGAGAGGGTGAGGCAGCCCCAGGAGAAGAGGGTGTGGGGGACAGCATCTAGGGACAGCATTAGGGGGGGGGGGGGGAGGGTCAGGGCAAAGCCTGGCATTCCTGGAAAGCCCTGCAGACTGTTTGAAAGTGGGCAATGCATTTGGCACATATGCCCTGCCGGCCATGGGTCTGTGAGTTTTCTGTCTGGGAACTTTGAATTGTAAATAGCTTGCTGTGGCTCTGGTGACATGGGAAGGCAGTGGGGGGCATGGACAGGGTGGGGGGGTGTGGAGCAGCTTACTTTCCAAGGTTCTCTCGGCCCCTCCCACAGGGCCTCGACTCTAGTAGGAGGCACGGGCGATTGTTAATGGCTAACACAGGGATACTTGCTGTTACTGTAGCAAAGTAAAACCTGTCCCCTTCTCTTTGTCTCAAAAGCCTGTCTCCCACCCACAGCAGACCACTCTATTGGACTTAATGGATGCCCTCCCTGGCTCAGGCCTTGCTGCCCAAAAAGCAGAGCCTTGGGGCCCTGCAGCCTCAGCTAACCAGACCAACCCCTGGGGCAGGCAGGGAGCCCCCGCCGGCACTTCGGACCCCTGGCCATCGTTTGGTAAAGTTCCCGCTCGTTTGTCTCCCATGCCTGCTTGTTCAATGGGTGAGGGGCAGCAGGGCAGAACCTCTTGCTCTCTGTCACCTGGCAGAGGAGGGAGTCAATCAGCCTTCTGTGGTCCCGACTGGAACGTCCACCAGGCCACTGCCTACCTCCTGTGGACTGTGGTCCAGCGCTCCCTTTCCTTCTGTTTTGAATGGTTTTCTGCTTTGGTAGAGGGAAAGTTGACTTCCTCTCTGCTTCCCATGCGCATCAGAAATGGCTTGTCCCTCCTCTGGGTCACCTGTCAACTCTCTCAGTCTCAGAATGGCACCTAGCACCCAGGTTAAGAAACTAGGATAACCACATGAAACTTAAGTCAAGCTGCTCTAATTAGCTGGGAATTATGATGTACCTAATATGACTACTAATGAAAAAAGGGGATCCACTTGCTGTAATTCTTCTTTCTTGTTATTTAAAGCAATAGTAAATCAGTTTACTAGGCTAAATGAATATTTTAAAGTTCTGTTTAATGCCAAAAGTGAAAGAATTTATGATAAGAGATTGAAACATGAATGTGACCTGATTGGTTTAGTCTGGGTGGAGATCTTGGGCACATGGGTTTCCAGATTGCTGGACATGGGGCTTGGCCTACAGGCTTTGTGATGGCTTCCTGCCCACCCTGCACTCTGGGAGGCCCCTCTGGGTACTCTGAACCCTGCCGGCCATGGGTCTGTGAGTTTAATGTCTGGGAACTTTGAATTGTATATTTTATGGCAACTTGCCTGTATCTCTTGGGGTCTCTGTTTCCCCAACTGGAATCGTCTTTTGTATTCAGCTCGGTTCCCTGGATGTTCGCTGAAGTGTACTAAATGCCAGGCTCTGTCCTGCCATGCAGGGACCCAGACACGAACAGGTAATGGTCCTGCACTCAAGGTCCTGGGCAGGTGTAGGCAAGATAGGAACAGCTGTGCAGGGGCAGCTTGTGTGGGCTGGGCCTCCGTGGTGGTTCTTTGAGAGCACTCTGGGGCAGGGTGTAGCTCAGGAGTCCAGCGGGTGTGAGCAGGCATCGTGTAGGAATCTTCAAAGAATAGTAGGAGTGGCCAGGCTAGGAAGAGGCAAGGGTGTACCCAGCAGTAGGCACCACTTGGGAGAGGCCTGAGGACATGCTGTGGTGCAGCAGGTACAGGGACAGGAACCTGCCCGGTGTGATTTGGGCAGCAGGGGAGTGGGGTGGGGGTGAGAAGGACAAGGTGGTGGGATTGGGGTGCGGAGAGGAGATGTCCTGGCAGCCTTCCCCTTGGACTTGTCCAGGGAGCAGTGTTGGCCCCAGATATCCTTTGGCCATGCTGTTGGCCTCAGGGACCTGGGCAGAGCCCCACATCTCCTTTGGCAGGAGCCTTCTGGGCCCTTGGTGAAGCCAAGTGGTTCACAGTTCTCACTCACTGAGGGCCAGCACCAGCGCTGCCAGGAGCTTGGGGCACTTGGTCCGCGGCCTATGTGCTGTGCCTCCAGGGAGCCTGCGTTATAAAGTCTTGCTGAGTACAGGCGGGGACAGAGAAGGCAAGTCCACTGGAAATGCCAGCATGGCACTGCCGAGGGGATAGCGGGCCGTTCCAGACAGTGTTTTAGACTTTCTTTTTAAATCTGGAAACGGTCCTTCTATAAAGGGAAGGCCACCTTAAGTTATGGATAGAATGTCCTTCTGGAACCATCGGTCCCTTTCAAAATTGTAATTGATCATTAAACCGATGGGTAGTTTTCTCAGTGCCCAGAAAAGAATGTGGTCACTCTGGGAGCCAGATGAGTTTAAAGATGATTGAAATATGCTGAGTCAGCTGTTGATTCTGGGGAGGGGCTTTGAGGACCAGGGTGGTAGGAGGCAGACAGACTTTTCCCTCTCCCCTTTTTTACTGCTTGTATTACCTGGGTGGGAGAGGTAAATAAACACTTCTTAAGTGAACAAGTTTCCTTTGTCTGGAGGATAAGGCTGTGCCCTGGAACTGAGTCTGTTGAGTGACATGACTCTCCCAGGGAGCTGGGGAGTCCCCTGCTGGTGGGGTTCTCACACACCTGTAGGCGTCATAGACCAGGAGCTGGCCAGAGGTGGGCGCAATTAGGGAAGGCAGCTGGTGTCCAGAGGCAGATGGGCATCACATGGGAGGGCTGCCCATGTGTCTCTACTCTTCCAGTCGCATCCCATAAAAATCACCATTTTAACAATTCTAAGATGCTAGCTCAGTGGTTCTTAGCCCTTCCTGCTGCTGTGCTGTCGTCAGTGCTGATTACAGGAAGTTTGCACCCCCCTGTTCCCAATAAACAGTTACTCCCTGCTGCTGCTCCCCCAGCCCCTGGCAACCACAGTCTGTTTTCTGTCTCTGGACTTGCCTGTTCTGGACATTTCATATATGTAATGGAATCATGCAACATGTGGCCTTCGAGACTGGTTTCTTTCACTTAGCTTGTTTTCAAAGTTCATCTACATAGTAGCTTATATCCCTGCTTCATTCCTTTTTATGGTTGAATAATATTCCATTTTATAGATAACACCACATTTTGTTTTATCCATTTAGCATTTGATGGACATTTGGGTTATTTCCACTTCAGGGCTATTATGAATCCAATTTTTTTTTTTTTAAGATTTTATTGGGGAGTTGGGGGAGGGGAACAGCACTAGGGAATCGGGGGAAGGGGAACAGACAAGTTGCTGTCCTTTTGTTCTTCAGTCTAGTTGTGGAGGACATTGCTTCACTGGCCCATGTTGGTA